GAACGTCTCGAGACGTGTAAAGCACCTTACGCTCAAGATCATAAACACGATAGCCCTTCTGAGCAGCGGGATACCCAAGAAAAACACCAGCCCGACCTCGATCACCAAATTTGTGGAGCTGATGATGATTGTCACGAGCATAAACCAGGCAGCCGAAGGTACGCAAATGAGCATAAGAAGGGTCTTTTCCAAACATAACCTGAAAGGGAGACTTATTCCCGATAGAGACCAACGGCATCCTGTTAATCAGATAAGCTGCTGTGAGTACACATTCTCCCCAGAATCGGAGAGGGAGATTAGCATGAAAACGAAGAGCCCGAGCTGTATCCAGCAGATGTCGGTGCTTACGCTCAACCACCCCATTCTGCTGTGGAGTATCAGTACAGGAGGTCTGCAAAAGAATACCTTCTGCAGCATAAAAATTTTGCAACTCGGCCGAGGCAAATTCAGGAGCATTATCACCTTGAATGCGACGGACCTGCTTCCCAAATTGTGTCTTAACCATGTTACAAAAAAAGAGTAAGTGTCGAGCAACATCGGACTTGAATTTCAACAGGAATACCCAAACTGCACGACTGAAATCATCCACGATAGTCAAGAAAAAACGAGCTCCGGATAAAGATGCCACTCTATAACTGCCCCATACATCAATATGAATCAATTCAAAACAAGTCTGTGTTTGAATGGAGCTAGGAACAAAAGGAGTCCGAGTGTGTTTTGCACGAAGGCAAGAGTGACAAGGTTCGGTCGGCTGAAGTACACGACCTGAAATAAATCGCTGTAAATGAGTGAATTTTTCTGCCGAAGGATGCCCGAGACGTGAATGCCACAAGACTGAGTTGTCAATGCCCTGCCGAACTGCATTTGCCATCACGTGTACACCATCGAACATATGTAGATAATAGAGACCATCACGATGTATCCCCATCCCAATCAGCTTCTTGGAAGGTAAGTCCTGAAGAACACAAAAGTCGCGAAGAAAGATTAAGGCGACAGGTAGATCAGCTGTCAGCCTACTGACCGAGAGAAGGTTGCACTGAAAATCAGGTACGTGCAAAACCCGGCGAAGCATAAGATCATTAGATAAACGAGCTGACCCTATGCTCCGAACCTGTATCCCCATACCATTGGGAATCCGAACCTGGAGATCCGGGGAACGATCATGTTCCTCGGTCAACAAAGAGCGATCATTAACTATGTGTTCATTGCATCCACTATCGATAACCCAGACATGCTTGGGAGGAGAAATATTACCTGCCATGTTCGAAACCGGATCGAGTGGAGAGGCTGCAATTGTTTGCGGATCAGCACCAAGTAAAGATTTCAGTTCTGGGCAAACTGGGCTGCAGACAAGCCTGGAATTGGACTGGTCTCGGCATCAACATTCGCTGCACGAGGAGTTGCATTGGTGGAGCGGCCTCGCTGTTCACGCCCTCGCGGTGAATCGGTCTTCTCCCCGGAACGTGGTGGATAACCATGCAATCTAAAGCATGTTTCCTTGAAATGGCCAGAACGCTGGCAGTGAGAACAATAAGGGCGACCATCAGCGTCGCGTTCGCCTTGACCTGAAGGAGGAGATTGACCAGGAGAATGACCGCGACCAGAGCCAGAACGACGCTCTCCCCGTGCCTGGAAAACCGCCGCCTCGGATTGGGGACGCCGCTGACCTGCAACATGGCGTTGTTGCTCATCGTTAGCAACCATGTGGTAGGCCTCAGCAACACTAGGGAGAGGTTTCATGGCGAGAATCTGAGATTTTATTGTAGAGAAGGCAGCATCAAGTCCCATCAGGAAATCGAACAACCGCTCGACCTCAAGGGCTTCACGTTGGCGCTTTTGCACTTGACAAGTGCACAAATTGCACGTGCAATCAAGGGAAGGAGCCAAGGATTGAGCTTCATCCCAATAACCACGAAGCTTTGTATAGAACGCAGCAACCGAAGATTTTTCTTGCCGAAGTGACGTGATGAGGCCGCGGAGTTCGTAAAGGCGCGGCGCACTGCCGTGGCCAAAACGGGATGCAAGATCGAGCCATATCTCACGCGACGTCTTGGCGAAGCGAACACTGCGGCGGACGTCTTTGCTCATAGACGTCTTCAACCAACCCTTGACCATCGCATCGCATTGTTTCCAGGCATCGCGTTCCACTGGCAACGTTGGGATTGCTAGTGACCCATCAACGAACCCAAGTTTATTCTTGGCGATCAGGGAATCAGTGATATCGCCCAACCATTCATTGTAATTGAGCTCGGTAAGAAGGTCCCCAACATAAAGATGGCTGGGGCTGTCGGATTGACTGAGAAGAAGGGATGATGGCAGAGAAGACAGCTTGACCTCGCCGCTGCTGCCGGAGTCCTTCGAGTCGACGTCAGTCATGATGAGAGGAACTGTGGAACCGTCTTCACAGCTCTGATACCATGAAGAAAACCAAAAGTAAAACGAGAACGCAGCGAGATTTACGTGGTTTCCCCGTTCGATGTGAACGGGACTACTCCACGGAGAGCTTTCACTCTCAGGATGAAATCGACTATGGTGTGTGGAAGTTAGGGTTTCCAGCCACAAAGTCCAAAGGTATAAATACTTGATCCGATTTCTACAGAGCTACGCGGATCAAATAAAAGAAAAGAACCAAATGCAAAAAGGTCCTCCAAAGATAAAACCATAACAAAGGAGGACACGTAACATGTAATTTTAAGGAGCACCCTATCATCAAAGCAAACTCCCCTTTTTGAATGTTTTGGGCAAGTGGAGAATAATGAAGAACCTACGGCAAGTGGAGAATAAGGAAGAATCGTGGATTCGTTTTAATAAGTGTTCTTTATGTTTTTTTTTATCCAAGCTAAGCCTAGAGGTATGTTAGTGTGGCACATGATCCACGATTGAATCTCTCCCAACAACTCGAGTTATTGGGAGCAACTGGTTCTTGACATGGTATCAGAGCTTTATCTGACCGAGAGGTCTTGTGTTCGAATCCTGATAACCCTCATTTGTTAAGCACATGGTATGTGCACCTGTGCAAACTTCATACCCTTGTGAGTGGCTTTCGTTTGAGGGGGCGTGTTAGTGTGGTATATGATCCACGATTGAACATCTCCCAACAACTCGAGTTATTGGGAGCAATTGATTCTTGACAAGGTATGGCCGAAAAACTCAAACACGATAGTAGTTTGTGTGAAACTGGATTACCAATGAAAGAGTATTTTTGGTTTTTGCCACTAAATGGACAACTATGTTCAAAGTGAAAAACGAAGAAACTAGAAAGACCCAAAAATGATGTAGACTTCATACAAAAGATATTATGTGAACCGAAAAATCAAACCATGTAGCCAGATGATAGCCAACATAGCACTCCTACACCATGAGACGGATTCGTGGTATGACATCATCCATGAAAGTGCCTAGATGCGAAAGCAAAGGAATGACACCCTGCAAATTAAACAAATAAAATAATCCTTGACTGAGAACCACAAATCTAGAACAAGAGCTAAAAGTAGACACTTGATGCATCGTCAAAATTTTGAGGGGAACACCAAAGAAGTTGTATAAAATGAATCTAATTGAAATAATTTTTTTCGTTGAATCGGATCCTTTGCATTAATCAATGATCCAAAATAGGCCAATCCAATGCAACAAGTATAGAGTTATACCTCTATAGGCACAACAAACAGCTCTATCTATCTCCAAACCTCAAAACACACTCTCTTCTCCTATACTACTGCTATACGGAGATGGATTCCCGATCCGCCAAGACATCGCCGACGTCGTCCATGAGGTTTTGCGTCGTCCGGTGTGCAGGAACCTGTCGACGGGGAGAGCTACTAGAGGACAACAGGCGAGCGATTGAGCTGGACGTGGAGTGTATGTTGTGTTTATATTGATCAGATTAGAGGTAGCAATTCTCAATCCAATCCACCAACCCATTAAAAGTATCCACCTAATTCAATCCATTTAAATCCAATCCATTTGATCCAAATCCAATTGGATTGGTCTATGGATCCAAATGGCAAATTACGGTTTGGTACCTATACTTTTTATATTTTACATTTTGGTAGCCAAAATTTAATTTTTATACGACAAATATCATTGGATAATTACGTTTTTGTACCTAAAATTTTTCATTATGACATTTTAGTATCTTAACTTTTCACATTGTACATATTGGTCCTTGGTTGAGGATGTCATTTGGATTCATGGATAATCCACCAATCCACTTGATCCAATCCATTTGATTCATGGATCCATCAATCCAATCCACCAATCCATAGATCAATCCATTTGGCACCTCTAGATCAGATAGATGGGTGTTATTATATGCATATACATAGGATCCAATTTAGCTAATCTTCCTTTTAATCCGTAATTCATTCTTAATTTTGTTCTAATTAAAAAGGGATCCAGTGCAGACCACAACAATATCATCACTAATCACTGTCATCAACGGCAATCCTTAATTAATTTGTCGTTTCGATCGGCTAACATTAGCTAGGAAGGAAAGGATTAATCTAAGCCTGCTCCCACCAAGCAAAACAAAATAGAATAAAAACAAAAGAACAGAGGATAATTAATTATAATTAGTGGCTCTCATTTCAACCTGATCATTATCCGTGTACAATATCATTGCAGTTGTCACGTTTTGATTTTTTTTTTTTTTTAATATTCCTCGCATGTCATTTTCACCTCTTATTTATAGCAATAAGATGTAATTATCTTGAAACAATGTTCGATGATATTAACCTCACATTGGTAGTGATCATTCCATTCTCAATTCTCAACTCCTCATCTTGGTAGCTCCTCCTTAATTTTGGATCTCGTAAAAAATAAGAACAAACGCACATACGATCGATACGAAGCAAACGAGAAACATACAGTTGGACAAGTTCTGCATGCATATGGCGCATTTATTCACACCAAAAGTCCCAAACAGCAAACGACCGGCCGGCCACCGGCGCGCTAGCAAGTCGGCCGGCAGAAATCGATCGCGACACCATCATCAACGCGTATCAATCCGATGTTGTTGATGCGGAAGGCGGAGGGGGGAGTGGCTCCTCCTTGGTGTCGTAATAGTAGTTGAAGCTGTTAACGCCCGTGAAGAGTCCGTCGTCCGGATAGGTAACAACGGTTATGCCATCCAAGCGAAGGTCCCTTTGAGTGTACGAGAACGGAACGTCACAGACACCTCGAGTCGCCACCACATTCACCGTCATCAGAGTATGGGGACTCACCACGGCGTCGTACTCGCTGGTCACCTCGGTGGACGAGGTCTCGGTGTCGCCCCAGGTGGTGGATCTGGACGCGTCCGCGGAAATCTCGATCCCTCCCGCCACAAGCATCGGGATGCCGGTCTTTACCGTGATCTTGACCCCGAGCTTGAGGGTCACATTGCCCTGCCACATGTGGCTTTTGGTGTCTGTGTACTTTATGGTCAACTTCTGGTTGAGAAGGTTGGGACCCTCGTTCCTGACGTGCCCCGTGGCTGCAACGATGATGTTCTCGTCGTAGATTCTAGCATCCGGGACGCGGAATGCTACGTCGTAAATCTCCCTCTTGATCACCAGCTCCTCCACCTGGATTCAGGCCTTCTGGCTTATGGTCGACAAGTCGGCAGCAAACACGTCTCTGTCTTGAACATAAGTGTGCCGGATACATATTTTGTTGTTGCCCTGGCACCGCAACGCGATGATGTTGTCATCTCATCTACCTGCACGGGCCAAAACAACGTGTCCGGGTCGTTCTCGCTCGTGTCGTTGGAGTCCGCCCGGATAACGTCCAAATCATTCGACTTCCTACACATTACGTATACGTTCCCGATCACAAATATGTATGTATAGATTTGGGGGACGGATCAGGTCAGTAATCTTATGGTGAATAATAACTATGAGTAACTCGTCCACATCAGCATGACATCAACATTCTTCTCTCTCCTAGAAAGTCTTTAATTTTCCTCTCTTTAATCTTTGGTGGACGATTTCTCACTCGTTTTAAGTCGAAATTTAATTATTTTTTTTTTCACAGTTAGATCAAATTAATTGTGCAAAACTTTCCTAAAACTTTTCTTGTAATTTAATTTTTAGTAAAAGCTCGACTTTAAATCTACAAATGAAATAAAATCTACAGCTTTAGATACATATATACCTCCAGAATTGATTGGTGGCAATGTTTTTGATCCGAATGGCTCCAGCTGAGGTGGTGAACAACTCACTGCCTACGTACTCATCGCCGATGTCCTTGCCGTAAAATATAAGGGTACCCCCTGAGGGCTGCATGTAGAGCCCGTCGCCGCCTTTAAACGCCGCGAGCTGAGGCAGCACCACGAGGGACTCCCGATCCACCACCTCGTACGCGTCCATGAGGAACGCGAGGTCGGGGTGTTCCGACACAGCTTGCACGAAGTTGTGGAGGGGGGACGCGCTGTTGTCGAACAGGGTGGCGTACCGGTTCAGCTGCACGTGGCGGAATCGGAAAACCCTGTTGTCCGATTCCGCCAGGACAACGGGCTCGAAGAGCGTGCACGACCAGTTGGACTGGTCCTCTTCGGGACCGTCGGCCGCGGCGGCGATCCAGGGATTGCCCCTGGACGCTGCGGCCCAGTACTTGTTGCTGTACGCGCACCGGATGTGGACCAGGTCCGTCGAGGTCTTGGAGGCCTCCACGTGGAACTTGGCGAGAGGGCTCGCGGCTGCATCTGCCGTTGCCTGGAGGTAGCGTTGGAATGTGATTTCTTCGTTTGTGTAGCGGATGTACTTGCCGTTGTACTTGCTCTTCAGAACCACGGTTCTTGGCAGTCCCAGGGGAAGCTCCAGTGCCGGTGCCGCCATGGTTAATTATGAAAAAAAATATTTGTGTGATATTGATTTATGAGATGTGTGAGCTCACAGCTGCTCGATCTACTCCACATATACATATCCATCTTATCTTTCTCCCCCTTGCTATTTATAATACTCACGCGCATGGAGAGATGGTGATTTCGATCTGATATGTTTTAGCCGATTTGTTTTGAAGAGGGTAATACTTACTTCATATAGGCCGGACGAGGCATAGCGGACATGGATACTCTTCTCTAGTAATGACAAACGGGTGGGCGAGCGCCACATCAAGCGTGAGTCATGTTGGGTAATATCAGCTCGGGTTATGAGGCGGGGCGGGTCGACTCATTCTCACGTGCTATGTGGGAAAAAAAATCGTAAAATTCTTTTCTACGATAAAACGAAGAAAAGAACACTCTATGAATGAAATATAGTGATAAATAAAATGAGCAATTTAATCTAACTAGTTGAAAGATCAAATTTTGCACTTGTTTAAAGTTTCCATATGGTGATAAAACAGAAGACATACGAATAAATATTGAGTCAAATTCAAATATAATGAGTCAAAAACAGGTTAGGCCGGAAGTAGTGTACGTTCTATCCCCGCCCCACGCTATTGTGGGTCGGGTAATACCCGTCCCAACTCGAGTAAGGTCGGGTAACACCCCTACGGGGCGAGTTCAAAATGTCATCCATACTCTTCTCGACGTGACCTATCTTGACCCGCCCGTTTTCAGCCTGTAAATAGATGAGAATATCAATATGTCGAATAATTAACTTGTATTTACCATATTATAATTTATTTTTTTAATAATGAGGAAATGTATATTTTTAATATTTTTGTTTTAAATTACGTATCTCGACCCGTATCCCGTGATAAATCTCCCGACGTGTCATGAGACGTGTATCAATATCGAGATACTCACTCAATTCTGTCCATTCTCTTTTCTACTCATTGTTATAAGAACCGACCGGATCAACGGTTGGGCCAGTAAAACCGTCAAACCAGTTATGATAGCGGTCCAGTTCATTGCTTGGACGGTTATTGATGGACTAAACAATTTTTCAAAATTCAACATAAAATCAGATGAACCACATCGGTTTAACTAGTCCACTAGTTCACTATTTTAACCACAAAAGTTCTTAAAAAATACTTTAATGTAAACTAAAACCATCAAGCCATGATTATTTATTTTATATACGCCTTCTCATTTTTCAACCTTGTTGTCTTTTTTACGTGATCCACTACCAACTGGCACCATAATTTTTTACTTGAATTAAAAAAAACTTATGATTTCTTTTGTGAGATGATTTGAATGATTTATTAGATATTTTGGTGATGATATGAATTTGAAATTGTTTATAAGCAATTATAACTTCATTTTTAAATTAGTGTAATGTACAAATCTTGTATCGAGTGGGCTGCCCCTAGTTGTTCTTTCTCTCCAACCAAACGCCCGCCACCGTGCACGCATAGTGCAGAAGTGGGTCCCAAGGAACCCGCAGAAGCTAAGAGTTATATATCATGAACGGTCCTATCAACGGTTTACCAATGGTTTTATAACTGTTAACCATTGAACCCTACACCACTAACTTTTCTGGTTCAGCCGATTTTGAGAAGATAGTTACTACTCATACCATACGTACAAATAAAAATAGGATCCTATGTCTATCTATCTTTTTTATCCTAATTAATTATTAATCTATCCTCGTCTTATAATTAAAAATATAAATAATGTTATTGTCAGTCAGGTCGTTAATTAAACACTTATTATTAGTCATTATCTACCAATACTATACTGCGTGGCCGGCATTCCCATGCATAATTTGTCGTTTTAGCCGGCCGCTCATACCATACGTACAAATAAAAATAGGATCCTGTGTCTATCTAGCTATCTTTTTTTATTCTAATTAATTATTAATCTATCCTCGTCTTATAATTAAAAATATAAATAATGTTATTGTCAGTCAGGTCGTTAATTAATCACTTATTATTAGTCATTATCTACCAATACTATACTGCGAGGCCGGCATTCCCACGCATAATTTGTCGTTTTAGCCGGCCGCTCCTTGGAAGGAAAGGTAGGTTGGGTGTACCCTAAAGATGAGATTCCGAAACTTATTGAGTTATTGTATTAAATTATTGCGTGCGCCTATGGTGATATGCATGTCACGGTGACTTGCACTTTTCGGTCGATCTCAGTTTGGATCAGGTCGACCTCATTTAAGATCAGGTCGACCTCATTTAGGATCAGGTCGACCGCATTTAGGATCAGGTCGACCTAATATGTTGTTTCAGTGTAAAAACAGTTTCATGGTGCCTACTTTGGAGATTCATATCATACAATTGGCTAAATGGAAATTGAAGATTAATGGCTTGTTTTGAAGCTGGAGTGTCTCTCTACATATGGAAGTGATTGAGAGCTCGATAGGAATTCCATAAGACCATTTTTGAACCTGATCAAATGGCTACCAAAACTGGGAAACTGCCTGAAAATGGCTAAGTCTAGAAACGTGTTTGTGAAGCCTATTTTGGAGCTCAATTCGAGAAGCATGAATGCGAGTCGAGTCCAGGGGCCTCTACCACGTTAAATTATGTATGTTTTTATACAAATTCAAGGCATTGGATGAAAGATTGGATATCTGTAAGGCTTCAAATAAAAGGGTCGAAGTTGCTACGAAGGCTTCACTCATGATGATCTAGTTCATTTTCTTTTCAATAACACTTCAGCAGCTGGGTGAGTTTTCATTGCCAAGTCCTGCGTTTCCCCAATGACTATTTAGCGGAAGAAGGAATAATGAGAAGGAAGCTTAATTTGGGTAAACTGATGAGAAGGAAGCTTAATAATGAGAAGGAACTTATGAGAGATATGCTTTTATGCTACACTTTCCCACTATCTTATGTCAGTTTACTAACTTAAATCTAGTTAACAGGCGAGAGATGAGAAATATATGGAAGAGCTTTAAATCTGGTCTTTTGCACTCAATTACGATTTCATTTGTTGTTGTAGGTTGCAGATATCCAGGATAAAGCTGATGTGGTAACAGAACTCTTGGGTTGGACACAGTGACATAGAAGACATGCCATTTTTCCTTTCCAAGGGTTAGTTTTCCTATCATCGGCTTCTTTGATTTTTAATTTGGTTGGTATTTGTTTTTAGTATGTGGTAGTTGGTTGATTAACAGTAAGAAGGGAAATATAGTTGGTGTAGATGGGGTAGAAAGTAATTAGTAGAGTTAAGGATAAAGTTGTGTCTATGTATGTCTCTAGCAATTAATACATTTCATTTGTTGTGCATTTATATTTGGAAGGTTTATTGTAGTTTGTGTCTGTTCATGTATATGTTTTGGGATCAATCTGTTTTTTTTTTTTTTGTGTCTCACTCTCTGTTGTTTCTCTTTGCCTTCTGTGTTTCGGCAGTTGTTTATGGTTGCCTCGATTCTTTTTTATTTGTTCTGTGTTTATTCCTCTTCTTGCTGATATTAATGAGATGACTTGTTATGTTTTTTTGATGGATTTGAAACAGGTTAAGATGGGTTTCAGAAGATTCATGATCAATTGATGAAAAGGGAAGATTCTTCAATCTGATGTTTACAAGGAGATGGACACCATTCTCAACCCTTTCATCAAATACCCTGATTGTAAAATTCCTCCCATCCCACTTCTTTTGTCAACTTTCTTCTTCGAAATAATTTTCCTGTCACGAGACTCATGATCATTTGATGAATTCCTACACCCGCCTCCCACCCTTGGGGTTTCTCTGTATGTTTTAACATTTTGCCTGAAACAAATTAAAATTTCCTTGTCCAACTGACAACTACTATGCAGTTCTTTGCTTTGGAGATTACCTAACTCCTTTACATGCAGATGACATGCATATGATGAGGGCAATCTTTCGTGACTTGTAAGTTGTGGTCCAGTATTCGAAAAATTTATGTTCGATTTGTTATGATTTCTAATCATGCACCTGCTCATGAGTTCCTTGTTCGATTTGTTATGATTTGTTATGATTGGTCCTCTTTCTGTGGTATTAGAATTTATGCATGTGTGAACTATGGAATGTGGAAGCATAATTGAGTTGTACGACATCAAGGGTACCAGTCGAAGCTTTTATTCTTGTTAGTGTTATTGTCTTCTCTGTTACATGCTTCATCTAGATTTCCATAGACACGAATTATATGAGATTATATGTGAACCCTCCATTTCTTTAATGATTTTGTACCTGATTCTTAGGTTGGCTCAAACATGGTTCGAGAATCATTTTCAGAACACAGTCCTTTCGTAAGACATTTATTTTATCTCTCTCAGGATAAGTGCATAATCATATTGTAATTCTCTTAGTATTATTGTCTTCTCTAGCTTTTGTATCCCTCACTTACTGACAAATAAAGATGACCTGCCCTTCAAACTGTGTTTTGATGAATGCAGAGCTTTTAGAAAGCAGTTGATATGTTTGCCGCTGGAGTTCAATTTGGATTATGAGAACAATTAGCTTCGGGTTACTTTCAGGTAAGAAAAAATTGGTTCTTTTGAGTTTATCTCAAGAAACAAGGTAAATGGGGCTAGAGGGAGCTGGTTGTTTCCTGTTCCAGTTTTGATCTTGGTTTCATCTAAACAGTATTGAGTCCCCTTTTCTCGAACTGTTGAAATTGTGCATTTCGTAAGTTCTAAGTAGGTATGTTATACCTGTAAATTTCTTTTTGCATTTTGTTGTGTTAAAAGAGTATGTTTAGTCTCCTTTTTGTGTTCATACTCATTTAACATGAGTATGTACTATGTAGTCTGCTGGAACTTCTTCTGATTCCTCACTATGCTTTCGAACTCGTCATTTTTCAGGTCCTGCTACATTGAAATAAAGAGTTCACTTCAATAGCAGGCTTGGATGATATGTTTAGTCTCCTCTTTGTGGTCTTTTTTTTTACGAAACCTGATTTGATTACCAAATGAGGAAGAGCTACAGAGTTTGGACGAAGGTCCAGGAAGAATAGAGGACAACACCAAGAGTCAAATG